CCTGTTCTCGTTACATTTTATATGTGAGGACTTTGCCTCTGGATTCGTGGATTCGGACTTTCAAAAGACACCCCCGTTTAAGGGTTGCTCAGTTATGAACCGGTAGTCCATGAGTAACTACCTAGGAGAGAAAGAAGCGAAGAAAAGTTTGGGAACACTGCGAATCCTGCGAACCCCTTAGTAGTGGACCGAAGCCTTGAACAAGTTTGTGGGACGTGGGCAAGCCCAGTCAGCGGAATTCGACGCAACCGAATCCCGGCAAGAGCCCAGGGAATCACGCTACGGCGCCCCAGGCAACGCCATGTACACACGCACTTCCGCTTGTAAGCCGTTGTCTTGCAGAGTGAAAGTAATCGTGGTTGCAATGGTTGCAATAATCACGCGTCTCTAGCTTCTTTATCTCGCCGTTTCAAGTGACGAAAGTGTTATAATCATGCGGACAACGATGCCAAATGCACGGAGGCATTTCGCGGAACACTTGATCGCGAGAGACTGTCTTTAATCGTCTTTAATCACTCTAGAGATTAATGCGTCAGCGATTGCAGCTAACCTTTCAGCTAACATGGAGAAAATCACTTGCGAACGGTGGGGTACCATTGTCCTAAAATGTATCAACATTATTATCAAGGTCCCTGAAGGTCAAAGCTTCAAGTTACCATCAGTAGCTGAGTTTAGTGGAACGTTCTTATTACAAGGCATTATATTATAATTTTCGGGCGTTTTTGGGGGAGAGAGAAAAAGAGTGTATCGATCTCATATCCTACTGCAGAACGTTGATGTAACATCGCAAGAGGCAATAAGAGGGTAGCGGGATGAGCCCGAATTCGGCCTCATGCCCTACCAATGGTGATTGCGTAATCTGTTTTGAGAGAAAACAGCCAGTGGCGAAAACATCGCAGGAGGGGCAAGCTCATCGCTCTCAATACCGACTCGACTGATTGCGGTGATATCATCTAAGGATTAGTTTCCTTTTCGGGAATGAAAGAAAGCAGGTAGTCTTCCTTTGCACACAAGCAAGGAAGGACGCAAGCGGAAAAGGGCCGCGGAGTTTCATCCAATCAGAACAAGTTAAATTGCAAATCAAATAATTTAGTGAAATGATGTCAGCTCGCCATGCACTATTCACAATTTTGCCATCATCTAACTAAGAAAAATATTTATCAGTTCAGGTACTGCAATTTCGGAAGTACGCTGAATTCTACACGCATAATACGATACAACAAGGAGCATCGGATTGAGCTTACAAGGGAGCTCAATAAAGTACTCTTTCAAGCAGGAGTGCCAAACGTGGACCGAAACTACATTCAGGGAGAGATGTATAGTGAGTTAAACCTGCGTCAACAGAGCCACGTCAATGAGCATGTACATGGCCAACAAAGATACTACCCATCCCTGTGCCCCGGACGTGCCTATGAGTGAGCTGCAGTAAGGTTCCCGGAGATGTTGACCCTTGCTGCCCAAAGGAGTGCTTGTGGTTGTCTCCTTTGTAACACATCTCATGTTATCTCCAAAAAAGCCGAACACGGGCGATTAGTTAGTGCAGATAGCCGAGCGGGCGGGCTTGCAGCAGCAACGTAAAAGGATTGCCACAAACGACTCAGTGCTCCTTCTCCATAATGACGGCCGAACTCACATTGTTGCAACCACTGCTTTTGAAGGAATTGAAGGGTAGAGTATCATCACTCTACACTGGCAGAACTGTAGTAAAGAGTGGGAGCTCCGATAAGGAGGGGAGGAGTGAGGCGGGGGTCTACTCAACAATTTAGTGCACTCAAGGCATTTAGTGCACTCAAGGCTAATCTTTCGAATTTGCGCAATCAACAGAGGTGCTAGGATGGAAATACCCGAAGAAAAAATTGTGCGAACATTTGTTTTCATTCGGAGAGACCTAGAAATTTTTTCCAAAAATTTCTCGTCCCCTCCATATTACCCAGTTCACGTACAGTCGTCATCCTTGCACTTGATAGTCAATGTCAGTGCGGCTGCGTGCGGCGCGGTCGCCCGCACCCGTA